CAATTAAAATTTCACCTTTATAAGTTTTCAAACATAGTCTACCGTCCATACCCGCGCGAATACGCGGGCTACCTTCCTAGTTGCATTGTAAAAGAAGAGAGGCCAGAGATAGAAATGAGATCACCTAGGAATGCTAGATCAGGCAACAATGGCTGGCACATTCGGATCCAGTGGTTTGGACTCATGCCGCACTAGATCATCTCAGAGCCTAGAGATGGTTGTTTTTTTTTACAACATAAGCATAGCAAGGACATTGTGAGTTGATTGTGTACGGGGGATCGCTAGTTGGCGCGTATGCGCTGCCAACGCGCGTTTTTGCTGGGATAAGGTGGTTAGACTAGTATTAGTCTTAGATAACGACAGTATGAGATAATGACGGTAGTAGATAAGATTTTATTTTTTCCGTGAGATTTTTTTAACTAACAAATTGAAAATAAAATCTATATCTGAAGCCAAATTTTGAAAATTTTAAACCCATATATGAAAACGTTTAAATCGAAATTTGAATTTTTTAAGTCAAATTTTGAAAACTTTCAATTTTTCATCTCAAATTTGAAAATTTTCAACCCATATTTGAAAACTTTCAACTCGAGATTTGAAAACTTTCAACTCAGATTTGAAATCTTTTAACTCAAGATTTGAAAACTTTCTACTCGGATTTGAAAACTTTCAAGTCCAAATTTGAAAATTTTTAAGTTAAGATTTAGAAATTTTCAAGTTAAAATTTAAAAACTTTCAACTCAAAATATTTGAAAAAACACGTGTGCTAAAAGATTAAATAAATAATCGGAAAAAAGCGGGAAAAAAAAGGGAAACAACGGGAAAAAAGGCGTGGGGGAGGAAGCGCAGATGATGTTGCTGGGGCGCGCACACGAATTAGCAATACTGTTGTGTACATCGCATTAATCGATCATACTATAAAGAAACAACCGTTTGTGCACTTTTAATAAACAACTATTGGAATGAGACTGCTATTAGTAAACCCGAATTAACTACAATTAGGGGTATATTTTTTAATACAAATTGTATCATCACTATTTTGCCATAAATAATACTCTAAAATACATCATCTCAGAATGAGTTCTTCAGCTTCCGTATAGAGCCCAATCGATCGGTTCTTCAGCTTCCCCAAGTATAGATCTATAATCAATTACTGCTGAAACCTATCGTCTTCCTTTCTCCCTCACTTCATTTCACTAATACCACCGTAGAATACTGTCTTCCGCAGCCACAGGAATGGTCGGGACACTCCCTGTTAATCCTAGACAAGACGCTTAGGCCATATATAACCATCCAGTCAGCACAGCCAAACAGGTGGTGTAACTTCCATTCCGGGTGTCTTCCAAGCCTACTCTCTGCATAATGCCTACAATGAATGACCATGAACATTTGGAGAACATTTGGTTGAGATTTCTTGCATACCATAGCTGGGCCCTGTTTGATTCCATGGGCTAATGTTTAGCCCTCATCTTTTAGCCTCAAATTAGCCCTCAAGGATCCAAATAGGTGGGCTAATTTTGAGCTAATGTGAATTAGCCCCCTTCAAAACATTAGCCCCTCCAAGGGGTGCTAATGGGGCTAATTTTGTGTGGGGACCATAAAAAAACAGCTCTTTCTCTCCTTCTCTCTCCTCTCTTTCTACTCTCTCTCCACCTTTTAGCCTTGAATTAGTCCATGGATCCAAACATACCACCCTAGGCTAATGTTTAGCCTACCAATTTATGACTAAACATTAGCTCTCAAAATTAGCCTTGAGCTAATCTTCCAAACAGGGCCCTGATCAGGACAATCTACAACTTTCCCTGCAAGGGAGTATATATATAGTGTCTTGGGCATGGTGCTAGTTAATCAAATACTACACATAAAGAAGAGAGACTTGCTTTGCTTTTTCTTAAAGGATTTTCCAAGGCAGTACAGGAAGGAATGGTCTTCATTCATATGCTATTAATTGTTAGTAGAGAAAACGTATAGAGAAACTATACTCTTATGTCCATTATAGATACTTCCATCCACAGATATGACACAAGAAATTTTATTGTCGCACATACGACATAGAGACTGTGAGAGATGGTACCAATACATCAAGATTGTGAAGTTTGCACAAAAGTGATCTGGAAACTGACAGAATATGAACATGGGTTGTCCACGCATAGGAAAATAATAGGGAAAAAAATAGCATCCAACTATATACATATATATGGACTCAAAGAACTACACAAACCAAACCACATATTACACTAAAACTGCATAACAACAGAAATTCATTCATGCGGGGTACACACAACAGCATGTCAGCATATGGATTTAGTTTCTTTAATGGAATCTGAAAATGGATTTGAAATCCAACTCTGGGAACAGTAATTTGGATAGACATCTTTTGCTTGGAATTTTCAAAGTGCAAGGGTCCTTAGTCGAAACTGTGTACTCAAATCCATATATGATCTCGTTCAGTAAGAAGCATAGTTCCACAGACTTATAGTCCTTGCTCAGAATTGTGTCCCTGATAGAAGAATGTCCAACAATACTTTGCTAATGTGGTGCAAATTAATCTTTCCAGGAAACATAATCCAGTTGACATTTGGCTTCGAAAGATAAGCATTTGCTGCTTGATTTCAGCTCAGTTGTCTGTCCTTTTCCAACAACTAACTCCAACCCCACAAGTGTATAACTCTTGCAACCATGAGTATTTCCTTCATCATCATGAGGTGGTGAAGAATGAAGAGGTGATCTTAACATATAGCTAGATGAGCATAAAGAGAAGCAACCATCTACATACTTGCCCTGCAGGTAGCAACCAATCCATTAAAACTGCTTTTGAAAATGTACGTGCCACATGCTGACCTGCTACATTTCGATCGTATTATGCCCATGAGAAAGAAAATTAATACTACACACAATTAATGCATGAGCTGAAACCGCAAAAGCTGTATAATTGCAGGGGATGTCGAATCTGCTTTCCCTTGTACATGAATTGGCGGGAACACAGATGAAAGAGTACCTTGCAACCTTAAGGGACACTCGTTCGAAAAAAAATCGTTTCTGTAATAGTGAGTTTGTGATGGTGTTGCGCACTTGCGCTTGTGCCATCAAATTACCAACCAAGAGGAGGACTGGAGAACAGGAGAAGCAGAGAAGGGGTGGAGAATCAATGGCGCACCGGCCGGTAGAGGTGAAGGCGAAGCCGCCAATGAATACGTTTGGACCGAATTAGCCCAAATTTACGCGCGATTCTGAGCAAAATTCACCTGCATATTTAGAACAAAATTAGGCATACTATGGTCTTAATTTTCGGGCCGAAATTTAGCTCACTATTTGGCTGAATTTAGGGTTGCATTTAGGCCAAATTTAATTAAAACTTGAGGGCCCAATTTACGCCCAGATGTAGCCCGACTGTATGTTAACCTTCAGGCTGAATTTACCAGATGTTTTGGTCCAAACATCTCCTATTTGGGCCTAATTTACGTTCAACTTTTGGGCCTAATTGATACGAACCCCTAGGTTTATTTTACGCCAACTCTTTGGGCCATTCTACTCGCAATTTTTGGGCATATTGACCCAAACTTTTAGGCGAAGTATATTTCTACTTCTGGGCTAAATTTAACAACACTTATGGGCTGAATTAATAGCATTTGCAGCCTGAATTTAAGCGCAGTTTTGGGCCAAATTTAAGACAGTTTAGGGGCGAATTTACATGAACCTTTGGACCAATTCTGGTTTCTTCATGTGAACTGTCAATTCTACTTCTTTCAGTTGATTGCCTCTTCCAGTGCCTTACTTGAGCTAATTTTTTTTTCTCAAACACATAGGTAAGCTGCGTATCATTGCATTAAAGAAGGGATTGAGCTCGTTGCTATACTGTTTTTGCCATCCGCCAATATTTTCACCGGTAAAGGAAGTACCAACTGAAAAAACATAGTGAAAGTTTGAGATGTAAAGTGGATTTCTTTCTTCTTTTTTATAACAATGATTAGAGAGTTCCAGCTGATCACAAACCTTCTTTGTAGACCTGTAGGGTGATGCATTTTCCTCCTAAGAACACATGTGTTTTGTTTTGAAGTGGAGCATAAAATTAACCGCTATCTGATTGACACGTTAACCATCTTAATATATACACATGAGCTTAAATTTAACAGGAAAATGCATGAAAGTGATGGAGAACAACTCTTTTTTTTGTTTATCTTGCTTAGAATGATGTTTACTTGAATTGCAATCTTTGACTCTATGTAAAGCACAAATTAGCTAGGGAGACCAAAATAATTAATGGAAGTCCTTTCTACACAAGGCCTGTTAGACAGCTTATCTAATCTAAATGGACAACTCCATGGTGCTCTACTCCACTTCATATGCTAAAAGGATTGTTCGTTTTACTTCCCTTCACAGCGAAATGTTCATATTGTTTTTTCATTTAGCTGTTTTGAGAAATGGAAATATTTCTACTTTCTAGTAGCAGAAGCAGAATATAAGGTGTTAAGCTTAGATACATCTATAAGGAAATATTTTGCAAGATACATCTATAAGAATATAAAGGAAACATTTTGCACTTCCTTATGGAGATAATAAATTCTCCTTAGCACAAAAGAAATTACATGTACGTATTTCCAAGCTTAAAACTATTAAGACACAAAAACTGATTATAGATGACCTTTAAGAATTTTCACTGTGAACTTAGTCTTTGGACATTGAATTTCTCTGTCTTAAATTGACAGCTAGATTTTCTTTCTTTTCTTTAAGCATTGTTTACTCTTTGGACTATTTTGTCACATTAGTGATTTAATTAGCATAGTTCGATTCTTATGTGAACCAAGGAAAATTCAAATTCAAGTCAACTAAACAATGCTGGTAGATAATAGAAGTACTCTGTAAAAATTTGTGCCCAAAAAAATGCTATCCGCACCGTTTGATCCAAAGCAAAAGAGAAGTGAGAAACAACACAAACATTGATGAATTTTTGTCTCTTTCAGCTATCTTCTAGAAAAGAAAGGCAAAAAGAAAATCTTTCAACATCACTTCTGGTGCCACCCCTTTTATCTGCCAAGAAGATGCAAGTAGCCAAGTACAAAAGAAGGGCAATCACCACCGGAGCCCATTGAGCTGGGGAGAGCTCCCTGGGCACTCTTCCTCCTCTCCTCTCATCGCCCCTTCCATCTCCCAAGGTATCCAATTTATCCCATTGCCTCCATTAATTTCCTGTTTCAATCCAGCAATTTGGGGTTCTTTACCCACCAGACCTTAACCAGGTAAATTAGGTCATGACCATTGAAGGCATGTTTAGGTTTTTATGGATATCTTGGCTTCTTCCTTGGCCATGAGTGGTCTAGTTTGTGCTCCATTTGGTAGGAATCATGTAAAAGATGTGTTTTTTATGTCTATTTTGGTGGCCCTGAATGGAAAATTACAGCATCTAGGATCTTGATAATTACTTTGGATGATACATGATATATAAACTACAGTATCTGTGTTTTTCGTCTGCGTGCATTGCACCAGGAATAGGATAGTGGAATTTAATGGGAAATTCAGGTCACTGGTTACATATTAGAAGTAGAGTCAGGAGAAATGGAGGTAAAATCAGTGCAAATTTAAGCACCAAAACGATCGAGTGCATTAGTGTTCTTATGTTTGGTTCATCCTGAACTAAGAGGAAATAATCAAAAAGTTGGTGATATTAAGATGTTTATATGTTGATCAATAATATCATTGCATTAATTTTCTTTTCTTACTGAAACAGGTGACCAAGCATAGTTCGAACAATATCTGTTGTCAAAGGGATTTCTTCTTTTAGAATTGGATCTTGTGGGGTTGAAATTTTAATTTATATATCCTTTCCCAATTCCATGGCTACAATACAAAAGCTCTATGAGGTCTGCAAAGTGTCATTATCTGCAAATGGGTCGTTATCTCCTGAAGCTGTTGACAGTGTTTGTTCAGTGTTAGGTAAGAAGTGCCCCCTTTCTGGCTGTTGCTTGTGGCTTGATCTTCAACCAAACTGAAATGCTAGATGGACATGTCAATGAAAATTCAGTGTTAATAAGTGTGTTACTATTAATTGGATTATATAGTGGTTATGGGTTTGTGTTTCTATGGTTTTGTGAAATAACACGAGCATCAGTCCAAAATGAGTTATGATTAGACAAGATTCTGAAACTAAACTTGTTTCACATTTTCTGTGTTCCATGAATCATAACTACATTAAATTTTTGTAATCTCATGTATAGCACCTTAGAGGCCCTTCATATATGAATTGTTTAAGATTTTCTTCATGAACCAGAACCATTAACTTGGGGCCTTTTTCATTTTCATTGTATGGTTCATCTGTCGCTTTTGCACAGTATTTTTATTTGCAGAGTTATGTTTGTTTCCTATTTTGCCCTGTTTAGATTATTGAAGACTCATAAAGTTTAAATTGCATATGTAGTATGTTTAGCATTAAACCGTTTGTTATTTGGGTCTGATTGGTTCAGAATTTCCTAGCAGACAATGTCATGCCTTCTGATGTTGGACTTGAGACTGAAGCACAATCTGTACGCTCTTGGAGAAGTCCACGAGTTCTGAATAGGAAAGCGGTTTTTCATTCGAGCACCACAATCAGATATCGTCACATATATGAGTGCAAAAATTTCTCGGTACAAGCCATTAACTACTTAATTTAGCTTATTTTGCATACTTGGTTTCTACATTTTTGCAGCATCAATTGAAAGTTCATTAGTCCTCTTTGTTTCTATGCTTGAACATATTAAATCAACTTATTTGATGTTGGTCAAAAACTTGTATAGATGTTGAATCATACAAACGTACCCATGTTGTGTATGCAGATTGGAATATTTTGTATTCCAGCATCATCCATCATTCCACTCCACAACCATCCAGGCATGACTGTATTCAGTAAACTTCTATATGGTACCGTGCATGTTAAATCGTACGATTGGGTTGAGGATACAACTCAACTGCTTAAATTATCAAAAGGTATGTTATTTATTAATCATAAGTTGAATTTACATTCACTTGTTCATACATGTACCATGGTTTTGATATTCTACCAAAACATAGTTATAGTGCCTATAAGATTTTTACCCATGTGGTATGCTACATGAAACGGGTTCTGAAATGAAGTTTTATCATTTCATTTCTGATTATCACTTCCATATTTACAAGTTACTTTTTCTTGCTGCTCATTCACCGGCTCATTTTCAGTTTGAGAAGATTTTCATATCCACCTACATTACATACATACAAGAAAAAAGGACCTAAAACGCAAAAAGTTTCCATCTATAAATGTATCTTCCCATTGATTCCATTCTTCTTTTTCTTATTGCAGTTAGACCTGCCAAGATTGTAAGGGATGGTGAGATGTCTGCACCATGCGGCGCAATGGTTATTCAACCAAAAGATGGGGGGAACATCCATGCTTTCAAAGCCATCACCCCCTGTGCTATCCTGGACATCTTATCACCTCCTTATTCTTCAGAAGATGGAAGGCATTGCTCCTACTTCCGCAGATGCCGAAAAGCAGACCCGTCGGGTCAGTAATCAGTACTACCTTATATTTCCTGGAAGACTCATGTTGCCACAGGTTCAGGAATCTTACTTACCATTTGCTATTATTTGTCCAGGCATTTTATCAAACCGATCGAGGGAACCTGAATTTGTTTGGCTGGAAGAACACCAGCCCCCTAACAGCTTTGTTATTAGAAGGGACCTGTACAAAGGACCTGCTTTAAATTTATGAAGCAACCATAATCCGCCAAGATCATGCTCAACTCGACATGATAATTGTGCTCACTCTAGCGTTTAATTTATCAAGAAGTATATAGATGTGCACCGCTCTCCTTGTATTTTATTTTCATGGTTTTTTGTTATTTATTTTGTATTTATAGAAATAGCTATCATGTGTTATCTAGCATATCTATTGTAAGATAACGTTATGGTTCACTCCATTATGTAACTTCATGACATAATATTTATATAACTACACAAAGTGGAAGCTGTTATTGAGCTTTCCTTTTGTTCACAGACCTGCTGGTTGGAAATGTTGTGAGAAATTAAATTAGCTTGGCAAACTATGGTGAGCAAAATTACATAAAGAGTAATAGAAATTAATTGGTGAACTAGCTATTGGTGTCTTCGAATCAAGCCACTTGTATTGTTGGCTTCGAACCAAGCTACTTATGATTTCGAACTTCACTATATACTGCTTTCACATCCTTAACCGTGTGGTGGCTTGTCTTTCAAATTTGAGATGAAAGTTCCATTATTTCGTTGACTTTCACAAGTTATACATTACTTGTCATTTGAATATTCTTTAATTAAAATACAACATCGAAGTTTGTTAATTTTGATTTGAAAGATTAATATCCATTCTCTTTCTCAAATAGGAAGTTCACAATGTGAAGGCTTTTAAAATTTACTCAGACTCTCCATAAGTCGGCAAATATCTCATCTATGCGAATTCAATTGTTTCCTAGTGAGAATGTTGAAGGTAAGAAGGTTTGGATTCAATTCGGATTCTGTTTACACGGCCTGGACAGTCCTACGATAAAATAGTCGTGAATTTCGCATACATACTCCATTTTGCATGTTTGAATACTTGTTGGAAAGCTAATTGCCCACGCCAAGGTTTTGGTTTCACCTTAGAATTCTGTGGTTTATCCGCAGTCTACCAAACCAAACGACGGTTGCTACAGCAGAAGTTTCTTTCTCCATGTCCAAGTCATGTAACGAGTTTGTTTCTTGTTTTTAGAGGTATTAGGTGTTGAACTTTGCACTAGGATCACCTAGGTTAGATCTAGTCGGGTGGTTCTATTTGGGTTTGATGAACGACATTCTAGATGAAAGGGAGAGGATTTAGATACCGACCGGTTGAGGAGTTCGTGGAGGAAGAGGCGCCGGACATCGTCGTTTTCGTCGCGGCTTGACGTGGATGCGGCGCCGGTGAGGTCGACAGTGATGACGGCTGCGGCAGTGGTGGTCGTAGACATCCCGGCGATGAGGCGTGGCGCGGCGGTGGCGTTTCCCGTCACTGGCTGCGCCCCCTCTCGATCGGATTAGGGTTTTGTGGGGTGGAGTTGGCGGCGGCGGTGAACTTCGTACGTTGTGCCGTGCCGGCCTCCAACCCTCTTTTATATGGCGCAGTGTGACGGGGGCCCACCAGCCATTGGGCTGGGCGCCCCCGATCAGGGCGCGGTCAAGGCCCCCTTGAGCCGTTGGGCTCAAGGGGAGGGAGATCTATCTAACATTCTCCCCCTTGATCTCACTTTTTCTTTTAGCTTTTTCTATTCCATCACAGATTTGTAAATAGAGCATGTTTCATCGTCACGGTCAATCACCGATGGATTCGACAGCCACTATACACAACTCTATTCAGAAACAGATACTTTACTTTTGGGCCCTGTAGTCCAGGATTCATAAGGCTTCCCTTAAACCCATGCCGGCTACATGTTCCTTGAACACGTTGGGTGGTAGGCCTTTCGTGAGCGGATCCGCGAGCATCCTTTCTGTTTTAATGTGCTCGAGACTGATTGTTTGATCCCGGACTTTGTCCTTCACAACATAGTACTTTATGTCAATGTGTTTGGCAGCACCACTTGACTGATTGTTGTGAGCGTACATTACTGCGGGTTCGTTGTCGCAGTATAACTTTAGTGGTTTCTCAATACTGTCAACCACCTTTAAACCGGGTATGAACTTCTTTAGCCAGTTCACCTGCCCCGTTGCCTCATAGCATGCCATAAACTCGGCATACATAGTAGACCCTGCAGTGATAGTCTTTTTTGAGCTTTTCCATGAAATAGCTCCTCCTGCCAGGGTAAACACGTATCCCGATGTTGACTTTGTATTATCTTTTGCAAAGTCAGAATCTGAGTACCCCACTATCTGGAGTGATTCTGATCTTCTGTAAGATAGCATGAGGCCTTTTGTTCCCTGCAAATAACGCAAGACTTTCTTTACCAATTTCCAGTGCTCTAGGCCTGGATTACTCTGAAATCTGCCAAGTAACCCGGTAACAAATGCCAAGTCAGGTCGTGTGCATACTTGCGCGTACTGTAGGCTTCCTACAGCTGACGCATATGGCTTTGTTTTCATTTCATTGAGCTCATACTGATTTCTGGGACATTGCGATGCCCCATACTTTTCGCCTTTCATTATAGGAGCAGGTGTAGCACTGCATCTGTACATGTTGAATTTCTTCAACACCTTTTCTATATATGTCTTTTGAGAAAGTCCCAATGCATACTTTGTTCTATCTCGGTGAATCTCTATGCCCAAAACATATGAAGCCTCACCGAGGTCTTTCATGTCAAAGTTTGAGGACAAGAATTTCTTTGTTTCCTGCAGTAGACTGACATCACTACTAGCCAGTAGAATGTCATCCACATACAGAATTAGGAAAATAAATTTCCCATTCTTAAACTTTGAATAAATACAGTTGTCCTCGACATTCTCTTGAAACCCAAATTTTTTTATTGTCCCATCAAACTTCAAGTACCACTGTCTCGAAGCTTGCTTTAATCCATAAATAGATCTCTTTAGACGACATCCCATATTTTCGTTTCCTTTCATGACAAAACCTTTCGGTTGCGCCATGTATACTTTTTCCTCCAAATCTCCATTTAGAAATGCCGTTTTTACATCCATCTGATGTAATTCCAAATCATAATGTGCCACTAGTGCCATTATAATCCTGAAGGAATCTTTACAAGAGACTGGAGAAAATGTCTCATTGTAATCAATCCCTTCTCGTTGCGTGAAGCCTTTTGCCACAAGTCGCGCTTTAAACTTTTCTATATTCCCTCTGGAGTCATATTTGGTTTTGTAGACCCATTTACAGCCTACTGTTTTGGCTCCTTTAGGAATTTCTTCTAAATCCCAAACATTGTTTAGTTTCATTGATTTCATTTCATCTTTCATGGCTTCCAACCATTCAGATGAGCGAGCGCTTCTCATGGCCTCTTCATATGAGGTGGGATCATCCTCCATATGCGACTCTTCTATATTATAAACTTTATAGTCATCACGGATAGCCGATCTTCTGACTCTTTCAGACCTTCTAGGGGCCTGCACATTTGGCACATCCTGTACCTGAGGCTCTTGATGAGTCTCCTGTACTGGCACATTATCTATTTGAGGCTGTTGTAGCTCCTCCTCTGGTGTGACAACCATTTCTGTTGAATCCTGTATAACAGGTTCCTCACTCTCATTCATTGTTGCCACAGGAGGGGTAACAACAGGTGCTGGTACCTCAATGACAGGCATTGCAGGCACAACATCAGCAGGTAGAGAGAAGAAAGGTTCCTGAGTCGACGGAGCGGGTACAGACACCCGCCTCTCCTCAAGATCAATTTCTCGAACTACCGAGCTCCCCCTAATCATTTCGTCTTCCAAGAAGACGGCGTGTCTCGTTTCTACAAACTTTGTATAACTGTTTGGACAGTAGAAACGATAGCCTTTTGATCTTTCAGGATAGCCAATAAAATGGCAGCTGACTGTTTTGGGGTCCAACTTCCCAATATTTGGGTTAAATACTTTGGCCTCTGCAGGACTCCCCCACACACGGAGGTGAGTTAGCGAGGGTACTCTCCCTGTCCATAGCTCATACGGTGTTTTGGGCACCGATTTGCTTGGAACTCTATTGAGAATATGAATGGCGGTTTTTAACGCCTCCATCCATAAACCGAGTGGTAGTGTGGAGTAGCTCATCATGCTGCGCACCATATCCATAAGCGTACGGTTGCGCCTTTCAGCTACCCCATTCTGTTGAGGTTCGCCCGGTGTTGAATACTGGGCTACTATTCCATTCTCTAGCAAGAACCTTGCAAAAGGTCCAGGGACTTGCCCATAAGGCGTATGTCGACCATAGTACTCTCCCCCACGGTCAGATCTTACTACTTTAATCTTTATATCAAGCTGATTTTCAACTTCAGCTTTGAATATCTTAAATTTATCCAGTGCTTCTGATCGCTCTTTAATTGGATAAATATAACCATAGCGGGAGTAATCATCTGTGAATGTTATGAACGAGTCATAGCCATCCACACTTTTTACAGGAAATGGACCACAAATATCTGTATGAATGATCTCTAAAATTCCTGCGCTTCGTTTTGCACCCTTTTTGATGCTCTTTACAAATTTTCCTTTAATGCATTCTATGCATTGTTCTAAGTCTGAGAACTCCAATGGAGGAAGAATTTCATTCTTAACTAGTCTCTCAATTCTCCCCCTCGAAATATGGCCCAAACGACAGTGCCATAATTTCGATGAGACATCGGGAGTTCGCTTTCTTTTCTTGTTTTCTTTTGTCAACGAGGACACAACATTCACATTCTCAGAAAGAGATAACAAATAAAGCTCGTCTCGCAACACGGCAAGACCAATACATGCATTATTATGCCATAGTTCACATTTGCCACTTCCAAAGCGGCAATCATATCCATCAAAATCCAACTTTGATACACTTATTAAGTTTCTTTGCAAAGAAGGAACATAAAAGACATCTCGAAGTAAAAGTATGAAGCCATTCGCGAGCTCTAGAGGAAGATCTCCAACAGCTTCAACTTTTTCTTCAACTCCATTGGCAACTCTAATGGTGCTTTCTCTTCTTTGCGTAGTCCTCGTCGAACGGAATGCCTTTAAACAATTACAAGCATGAATAGTTGCTCCAGAATCAATCCACCATGTGGATCTAGAGTAACCAACATAATGAGATTCATTTACAAATGTAATAATGTTCTCACCTTTCTTTGCCATGATCATTTTCAAAAAGTCAGGACAATCTTTCTTGTAGTGTCTTGTCTTCTTGCAGTGGAGACATTGATCTTTCTCAACAGCGAACTGTTGTTGCTGAGGCAGATGCTGAGACTGTTTACCTTTTGAGGTGGGAGACTTGTGGTTCTTTTTCTTATCTTTAACATAGTTTATTGAACCACCATTTGATTCTTTGATTCTCTCCTCCTCTTGCACACAATTAGCAATGAGCTTCTCAAAGTTCCATTTCTCTGGACTTATGTTGTAGTTGACAATAAAATTGTCAAACTGCTTTGGCAATGAGGCCATAACCAGATGGACCAGAAAGTCATCTGTTATGCCCAAATCCATTGGCTTCAACTTGGAAGCCATGTTGCTCATTCTAAGTATGTGGTCTCTAACACCACCTCCATGGTACCTTTCTGTCACAAGCTGCTTGATCAGCTGTGTAGCATAAGTCTTTGAAGAGCCAGTAAACTGACTCTTTATTCTTTCAAGGTACTCTGAGACAGCGTCACACTCTGGGATCGAGCCCAATATGGTAGGCTCAATCGTATTCTTTACCACAGCCAAACATTTCTTGTTGGCTAAGGACCATTTCTTTTGTTCAATGTCATACGACATGACGAGAGGAGCATTGTCCCTCTGTCTCTTTTGCCAGTCAGCATCTGACTCATTTTCACCTCTGACAAGTTCAGCAGGTTCTATAGGACATGGGGTAGTCAATACCCAGTCCACCTCTCCCAAGATAAAAGCAAGGTCGAGTTTTCTTTTCCATTCTGCGTAGTTATCTCCTTTTAGGGTCGGAATATCTTTAATGCAACCCATCAAGGAGTAGCCACCTGAAATAATCATGTGCGGTGAGAACAAAATTAACATTAAAATATTATGCATTAAGCCTACATCACCGTTGGGCAGAATTAGACATAACACATATAACCATAACTATAATATTGCAATTAACAACGTTGGTCAGAAAATTACAACATCATAGCACATACTTAATGTTCCTAAAATTAAATTCTCCCGTTGGTTCGAAATTTAATTTTAGAAACACTAATTTTCATCAATTACATCTATTTGCAGCGGAAAACTATATAAAAATCATATGAACAGTAGCAAAATCTCTGTAATTCTCTCTCTGTGAAAATTCTCCCGTTGGTTCAAATTTAAACAGAGGTAAAACATGCAAAAAACTATTCAAAATTCTATTGAAATTTGCATGAAAATTGACAAAATAAAAATTGCTACTGTTCTCTTTTATTCATTTTTCGGCCCCGGAGGGACCTTATATGAACTTCTTCCGGCCTTTGCCGGTCGGCCCATGGCCACCTTGTGCGCGGGCGAGCGCCCCCTCCTCTCCCCCAGGCCGCAACCTGGGCCTGGGCGGGAGAAGCCGCCGCCGCGCACTCCCCACTTGGGCCGCTTTCGGCCCGAGCCGCCGTCGGCCGTCCGATCGCTAGGGTTTCGATCGGACGGCCGGGAGGGGAGATCGGGAGACCAAAACCCGACCCCCAGGCCGCCGGAAACCCTAGCTCTTCTTCTCTCGCGGGCGCGCGGCCGCGCCGAGCGGCGTCGCCGACGCCGGCGGCCCTCGCGCCGCCCCGCCATGACCGGCGCGCCTTTCTTTTCTCTTCTTCTCCGCTCGCCCCACCGTCTCTAACCCCCACCGTGTGAGAGAGAGATGGCGACGACGGAGATGGCGGCGCCGCCGCGGGCCCCCTCGCCGGCACGCGCGTGCAGGTGCGCGCGCGGCCGTCGAGTGGCTCCTAGGCGGCGCCTCTTTGCCCCTCCCCCCCTCCGTTGCCGGCGTCGACGACGGCCGGCGACGAGGTAAGATTAGGGTTAGGGTATTTGGTTCTTTTGATCCGTGCGGATCTTGTGCTTTTCTTTCTTTGGATTTCTTTTCCCGAACCGATCTAAGCCCTAGGGTTGCTCTGATACCATTGTTGAACTTTGCACTAGGATCACCTAGGTTAGATCTAGTCGGGTGGTTCTATTTGGGTTTGATGAACGACATTCTAGATGAAAGGGAGAGGGTTTAGATACCGACCGGTTGAGGAGTTCGTGGAGGAAGAGGCGCCGGACATCGTCGTTTTCGTCGCGGCTTGACGTGGATGCGGCGCCGGTGAGGTCGACAGTGATGACGGCTGCGGCAGTGGTGGTCGTAGACGTCCCGGCGATGAGGCGTGGCGCGGCGGTGGCGTTTCCCGTCACTGGCTGCGCCCCCTCTCGATCGGATTAGGGTTTTGTGGGGTGGAGTTAGCGGCGGCGGTGAACTTCGTACGTTGTGCCGTGCCGGCCTCCACCCCTCTTTTATATGGCGCAGTGTGACGGGGGCCCACCAGCCATTGGGCTGGGCGCCCCCGATCAGGGCGCGGTCAAGGCCCCCTTGAGCCGTTGGGCTCAAGGGGAGGGAGATCTATCTAACATTAGGATTACTATATAAGTAGTAGGTGTGCGTCTATTGTAAGGTCGGCCCTGTTCGTTTCTTCTGTAAATAGAGAGGATAAACATTTGATACTCGTGGCATGTTTTTCAAACTTCTAAACGGTGTATTTCGTGTGAAAACTTTCTATATGAAAGTTGCTCTAAAATATCAAAATAATCCATTTTTCAAGTTTGTAATAATTAAAACTCAATTAATCACACGTTATTACCACCTCATTTTGCGTGAAACACTTAATCTTTATCTTCATCTTCATCTTTAGGGGATTCAAACACCATATGAATAAAAATTAGCTTTTAGCTACAATCATGTGAGAGTCTTGCCACTCGTTTTTTCCAATGATTTGGCGCAACCACATAGAGGGGAACATGGTGATCCTATCAAGATCGTGCTTGTTTTCTACTGGGATTGAGGGTTCGATATTTATCTTTCGCATATTGTGGTTTTGCAATGGCGAGATGAAAAGGTGTGATATACGAGCAACATGTTGTTTATCCACTTCGTCAACGTGTTTTAGATGAACAACATGTCCCTTATCATGACGTGCAGATGTATATGATGATATGGTATTAGTAATATCCGGTGGATGCGGATTATCCGGTGAACAATTTTGGTAGTTAATACGAGTTTTGCAGTCCATGTAACCATTCAATTTGGCCCATTTGACATGGGCAATTTCATCCAGCAAGCATCCATCCCATCTATGTCGAGCCCACCATGATGTACGTTATCCACCACATCCTATCGATCGATCTAGGTCACAAACGCTGCACAGTACACTGCCATCCCATCTCACTAAGTAATATATCTCTTTGGATCGTATATTCTAAATATACAAAATATTTAAGTGGTGTATACTACTCTCCGTTTCAGGTTATAAGACGTTTTGACTCTGGTCAAAGTCAAACTGCTTTAAGTTTGACCAAGTTTATAGAAAAAAGTAGTAACATTTTCAAGCCAATACAAATTTATTATGAAAATATATTCAATTATTAATTTGATGAAACTAATTTAGTATTATAAATATTACTATATCTATAAACTTAGTCAAATTTGAAACAGTTTGATTTTAACCAAAGTCAAAACGTATTATAACCTAAAAATGGAGGGAGTACATTTTAAGAAATTCTATCCATAATAAATATTCACAATATTTACAGCTTGCTCAATTACTCCCTCCGTTTCGTTTTATTTGTCGCTGCCAGTACAAACCGAAAACATCCATTTTATTTGACGCTCTAGTACATCTCCACCTGCAATCCTATGCAAAATTCCATCCTTGCCCCTCGCACCCTCCCCATCCGTAAGGCCGCAACCCAGTCTCCGGCGGCGTTGGCGCGCAGCATGGCGACCTCGGCCTCGCGTGCGATGGCGACTTTCCGTCATGGCCTCGGCCCCGGCCTCCCGCAGCTCTGCACCATCTTGTCATTCTCACGTCTGCGGGGCTGGGGATGCTGGCCGGCGTGGTGATGCCGAACAAGAGCAGCAGCAACAGCAGCAGGACGTCGTCGTCGTCGTCGCCGGGCGGCGGCGTTGCTGCAGTGGGGGCGCCGACGTCCGCGCCGCGGTGCGCGGCGTGCGTCAGGATAGGGCGGGAGGAGTGCCGCCTGTGCACGCGGTGGTCTGACTCCCGGGGTGACTGCTCCGTGCGCCGGTGTGGCGGGCGCTCTGCCGGAGCTACGGCGGGTCAGGCACCGGACGCCGCGCTCCTGTCCGCATCTCCTCCGCGTCGCCACGGTGACCGGGTCGATCGGAAGCTGTTGCTGTAGCCTCATTTCAGTCTGAAAGAATCTTCTTGTTTTCATTTTTATTCTGAAAGTAAGAGCTGGGCTCTGAGATGGTCAATCTTGCACAAACAAGCCATTGGCATCATGCTAACTGACCACTGCATGCCAGGGATGACAGTTTATGATCTTCTCAAAGCAGATGAGTGAAGTGAAGCATAAAACTTCTACTCCTGTAGGCTGCATATACATTCACTGAAAGTTCTGAAAGTAGCAAGAAGATTAACATGCATAAGCCCGAAGGTTTAGACGGATTATGCCGTCAAATTAAACAATGAAGCAGTCTATTTCATGCCCAGAGAGGAGGAATAAGGGGAATCTTGCGACATCTCACAAGGCAGATAAGAAAGAGAGGCTCCCTTATCCTCACGCCGCATCACATCATATACAAAAAAAAAAGAGAGAGAAGAGGAATCAAGAAACGGGCATGAGGAGAAGCAGAAATCACCACCTTGGGGTTGAGGTTGTCGACGGCGACGCTGGGAATAGCCATGGCGGCGGAAGCACCAAGAAGAGAGAGAGAGATTCAGCAGCAAGCAGCGTTGACGGGCTGGGTTTCGTTGATGGCAAGCAGCCTTGTTCCGCCTCCCTGGCGGCGGAGGTCGGAGAGGAGGCCGCCCACCGCGGAGGCGGAGGTCGGAGTGGAGGCCGCCCACCGCGGAGGCGTTGCGGGCGTGCACGTCGGAGGCCCGATCGACGTCGTCGGCGTTGCAATTTCTTTCGGTGTTGGGGATTTCTGCGTTGACGAGGAGAAGGCACAGGGGCAAATACGTAATTTCACAGCTTCCTTAATTTTCACGGCTTTATCGGAAACATCAAACATAACGAAACGGAGGGAGTATTACTATTCATATATATGTACTTCTCTTCTGTTATAAAAGCTGACTAGTAACCACAACGTGAAGCCAGAACAGTACACAAGAGCGAAAATTCCATTACTCGATAACCAGAGGGCGGATCTGCAAAAAGCCTCCTCCTCTCCACCCCTCGTCGGCGGCATCTCGTCGCCCCCGCCTCGAAGCTTCCAGAAGCTTCTCCTCCTCTCTCCTCCCCTCCCCATGGCGCGGCGGGGCCACCACCACCACCTGGCGGAGGTGGCCCTCCTCGCGTCGGCCTCCGAGGACCTCGCCGCCGTGGGCGCCGGCGAGAGGGAGGGGTGGCTCGACGACCCCGCCGTGCTCCCCTCCCTCGCGCCGCGCGCGCGCGCCCTCGCCGTCGCCAGCGCGGCGAGGTCCGTGCTCGCGGTTGTCCCGGTCGCCGGAGTAGGCGGTGGGGTCACGGTGAGGCCCGCGCTGGGGCCCGACGACGGCCGGATCTCCGCGGTGGAGTGGGTCCCGCTCGTCGGGGAGGACGCCGAGGAGGCTGGTGGGGAGGGAGTGGCCGTCGCCGTGGGCACCGACGCCGGGTGGCTTCTGTTCTACTCTCTCGCAGGCGATCTACTGCACAAGCAGGTTGCTATGATGTGTGATCGATCTCTTCTCTGTGGATGTTTTGTTCCTCGGAGAATTTTTTGAATTTTATTAGGGGTTTCATGATTTAGTAGATCTATATCTGGTCATAGTTATTAATTTGAAATCGCATTATTTTCGGTACGTGATAAGCACTGGATGATGGGACGAGGATAGAAGAAGCTGCAAAGACTTGGGGGGTGAAATGTTGGGGGAATTTTAGCCATAGTTTGCGACTTGCGAGAGCAGGTTCATGACTAGGTGGTTGTTGTAAACATCAAATATAGGGGGTTTTTGCTATGAATCGTTATGGTTTGTGTATGATTAGTTGCTCAGGCAGTGTTTTTCAACATATAAGAATGCTCTTCCAGGCTTCGTACTTCTCTAACTAACCGCCGTTTAAGTTACTGTGTAATTCATAGCCTAATTATAAGATAATACCATAGGCACTATTTTTCTTGGTGATTGTTAGGTATTTGCTTTTAAATTGTTAGTTGCAACATTTATCTGCATGTTTTTTTCCATCATACAATTGAACAAGCATAGGGGAGTAAGTCATGTAATTGAGCGGGAAATCTACCTGCTTTAACTATGGTTTGTTATCTGGGCACTGGGTACCACATGTATTTGCGACGCCCAAAAGAAGTAGACATCAAATTTACCCTGCTTAATAGATAATTGTAGTTCATTTACTATGTAGACGGTCATAGTTGATATTTCTTTTAGTTTTTTTCTTATTTCTTACTTCTGATTATTGTATTGCTTATTTCAGAGTATTTATCCTTCAAAGATACTGAAACTTAACTTCCGTGAGAGGAAGGAAAACGCCTGGGAAGATTCGGGTTCAGATGAGCTTTCTGTGGTTTTCCCTGGTGTTATTGCACGTTTTGATGGTGCTGACCTTCAGGTTTCAATAAATCTTTTTGTTATTTTGTTGTTAGGGTTTGAAATGTCATATTTTTTATAGATGTGCTAATCTTGTATTTTTTTTAGAGAAACATTATCAAAACTTTTTTACTTGCACAGTACTTAGCAAGCGCGTTAAGTTGAGTTTTATTCACTACATTTTCATGTGTTTTGATAAAGATATCCAAAACATCCATACTGTTAAGATGTGTCAGAACCTAATGCAACAGTAATCCTGTATTGTGGCATTTTAGTCTGCATGTAATGACCAAAGCATCAATTGTTCTGTATTCGAAGTTAAGTACTTAAAAGGAAAATTTTAGTAATCCCTGTTGAAAAAAAATGGAAATTTGATAATTACCCTAAGTTAGATATTTTCTTGCATGGACACCTTTGAAATTAAAACTAAAAAAGTGAAAAAACTGAATTACCAGTATTGGCCTTTTAATAGAATTTAGTTTTGTTTGTTAACTACGGAAAGTTGCTTACTGTTGTTAAAACGTTTTGATTTACTGTGCATTCAATCATTCACTTTGTAGGGACATACTCCCTCCGTCCCAAAACACAAGGGATTTTGGCCGGATGTGACACATCCCTTATATTTTGGGAAGGAGGGAGTAAAATTTATTTCATTTTCACCATCCAAGTTTAATACTACAGTTGAGATCAGATTTCTCATTCTCCTATGATGTGCTCTGAAATATTATTTGTTTATTACTTTATTTAATATCTTGCTTTTAGTATGTAGCAGTCGTTAACCATTTACTATTACTACCAATAGTAGGATCTTGGGAGAAATGCAACCATTTACAATGTTCCAGACAGACAACTACAAAAGAGCATGGCAATAACTTCAAATACTATCAAATATCTGTTCATTAATGATGAAGAAAAAATTATACTCCCGCCGTCCTGTTTTATAGGGCGTATAAAATTTCTGCTGCTATCCCAAATTATAGGTTGTACTATCCCTTCAGCTTTTATCCCAAGAATGCCCTACCAGCATTTGCATGCATGCCCATAGTTAATGCTTGGATAAGCACAATTACTTGTTGAGCCAAGCAGGCGGTCAAAGCAGTTTTGCATGTGAGCGCTACCCCGGAGTTGCAATGGGAATTCTGCATAGTAAAGCGTGCTTAATTAGGGTCATATCAGGATGACACAAACCCACTCTTGTTCTCTGCGAAAAAACTTATAATCCTTATAAAACGGGGTGGAGGGAGAATTTGGAGTGGGATTCTTTTTCCTACAAATATCACCAATGTTCTAGAGGGACACAAACCTATATTCCAATCATAAAGTGCAATTTTTTAGTCACTTGCAGTATTATCTAGGGTCCTATAAGCAATATATGCCAGTTTTCTTTTACAGCCATGATGAACCTTCTTTGATTCCATACACAGAAACATTTCAATGCTCAGTAGACAGTACTTTTGTTATCTGTCTTCCTTTTCTATTCAAATAATAGTTATTGGTTATTTGCAGAACATGCTTCAAAAATCATTACATGAAGTTAAATCACACCTGTGGAAAGACAAATCTGAACAGGAAGATGCTGAGGAAGATAGTTCCTTTGGAAGAATACCTTTTCAAATTTGGAATGTAAGCAAATTCAGTTCTTGTGCAGATGCTGCAATTGTTGGGCTGATGCCACCTCCCTTGCTGGAACTTCAGGTGATTTGCCCTCGTATCTTTCTCTTACTGCTGTACCCACTTATGTTAGAAATTGTTATCAAAGTTGAAACCTAGCTTGCCTTTATCAGTATTATTTCAGTTTTTATACCCTACTTCATTTAAGAAGTTACCTTCAGTGAAGTTTCTGAAGTTATTATCGTATTGAATTCAGCTGCTTTTATATTGCTGGGCAGTCGAGTCAGCGCCATTATTGTGCAATTACAGTTGGAGAGGATGCTGTAGTTTCTGCATATAGGTGAGTTCATTACTCAGTGGCTTGAACATTTCCAATCTGGGTAATCATTCTTCTAGAAAATGTATCTGTGCTTCCATCGTGAGCGGAGCAGCATGGTTTAGGGCTTCCAAGGCATATCTGGGCACTGTCTTCCCTGTAAAATTTATATGGACACACATTTTGCCAATTCTAACTGTACTGCAAATATAAATGACATTTATATGTTTGATTCAGATTTGTATTGATTCAACTGACTAAAATAGTGTTTAACTTATATGTATGCAATTGCTGAAAATGGGAAGATGGAGTTGCAATTCACTCCTGTTTTGGCTTTCCTCGACATTTTGATGGCTTTGCAGGTTATCAGAAGACAGAAGCAGGTCAATTGTTGGAGCAATTTTATCAAGAGGTGTTGCTGCAACATTTTCAACAATATCATCTCTGTCTAAAATTATATGGCGGAGCGAACCATCACCAACCAAGAAATCACGTCCTAAGCCTCAGTCCTTTGCAAAAAGTAATTGCCTAAATAATTATGTTCCTCTTACTTAAAAAAAAGAATTTATTTCTCATGGTTACATTTGCTGCAGCATCACCACTAACTTGCTTGAAAGATTCACCGAGGAAGGGTGAACGGCTTACACTATCTCCAAGTGGTACATTGGCTGCCATAACTGATTCTCTTGGCCGCATTCTACTATTGGATACTCATGCCCTTGTGGCTGTACGGCTGTGGAAGGTAATTACTTGAGTATAACTTCATTTTCTATTTCTGAAATTTTGAAATGGAACACAGGAACTGTGTTCTACATCGATACTGATATAAAATGCAATGATAAGGGCATAAGGCAATTTTCATTTATTTGTTGGTTGTGCTGTGTTGCCATCTTGGTGACACATTTGTTTTGCTCTCGATGTGCTGGTAGCCTGGTACCATGTTCTAGTGTGGTTTTCTGGATTGCACCACCTTTAGTGGTTAATTGTGCGAGGCTTAGGTTGATGCACATAAAATGGTATTTTGCTTTGTCTGCTGCTCTCACATCCTAGCTTGTTGAGCTTTATAGTCTTAGGTTAGAGAAATTCTGCGATTTGCCATTGACACTTACAAAAAGACATTGACGAAGATAAGTTCTATAATATGCCATCATGCAAACATTTTGCTTTGAATTCTGCCATTAGACATCCATTTTTTTTTTCATAATGTTCAAAATACCCCCAAGCGTGCCTTTGAGGGCCGCTCTATTAGCAATGACAGATGGAGGGCTTGGCGTCTGCTCCATGTCTAGCTCTGGTAGCTCGTCAGTGTCCATGCCCAAAACCCTCAGTAGAGTGGCTCTCTGGCAAACAATGGCACGTCTTGGGGTATTTTGGGCATTATAAATAAATAGAGAGATGCAGAATTGGGAGAAAATGTTTGTATGATGGCAGATAGTGGAACTCAACCTTGTTGATGGAATTTTATGGAATGAAGCCTTTGTCCATTGCAAATCGTAGAATTTCCCTCTTAGGCTTAAAGCATTACTTTTGTGGGAGTACCTTAACTTTTGCACCACTAACCATTATCTTAGCGTGGTGTTATCGCAATTACTGCAGCTAGTCAGTTTGTGGCAGCATTTGTTCATTTACTACTTGCTGCTGCTGTTACCTATTTTTATACAGTTATGTTATAGTGGTGGGTGACACTTTTGTTTTGCGTAACAGCAATTAACCAATCTGTGACAGCAATGTTCATTTAGGTATTAGGTTGGCTAGTTTTCATATGAGTCATTTGTTTTGGTTAGATACACTGTCATGACACAAATAAATGCTGTTTCTTGTTCATAGCGCCTTGTTCAGCATAAAACTTCCATCATCTACATGTACTGAAAAAATGTTGTAAAATTTGATGGGGTTGAATGTTATGAAAGCTCCTTTATGCAGATTTACAAATAATTTCATATGGGCGATCTAAACATTCATATTGATGCGTATTCCTTGTGGGAAGTAGTAGCTTATATATTTCTCTTTAAATTACCTTTGAGACTAACATATCTAAACATGCATACTTCTATTCATCAAATATTAGTTGATCAAGAAGAATGGATTAAAAGACATTAACTGTATTTAGTCTGTAGTATCTTTCTTAAAAAGGTCTCGTTCTCTGCCTTATTTATCCCACTATGAATATAATAACTTTATTTATATGGAAGTTCTAGCTCGAAGCATGTAATAGAAGAGATCCTAATTAGTACAACTGAAACAAAAAAAATTGTAACCTAATTTAAAATAGAATTCAGATAAGGTGGTTATCAAGTGCAGCTCATCCAGATTTGTTTTTTGTATTTGTTATCTTGTTTTCAGAATAGCCATATCTCCAATATGGCAATATCTTCTTCTGTAACTATAAGTTTATTACTCCAAATCTAGAAAAATAATAATGGATCCAGCTGTGGGAACTTTGAACAGTGGGAATCAATTGCTCAGCAATGCATTGGAATAACTGCTGTTTGGTCGGTGCCCTGAGCACGATACCTGAGAAATTTCTATTTATCATAAGTTCATGAATCTTGCCCGGTCAGGCAGCCTGAGTCTATGCTTGTTTGTTCTGCCATGGCTACCTGGGAGAAATAGCAAGCAGACCCTCAAGTCCTTCACAGTGCTGAACAATTATAATTAACCACCTTCGTAAGATTTAAGTCATCCTGTACTGTCTGGATCATTATTTTTATCGCATAACATTATTGTTTCATGTTTCCAGGGTTACCGTGATGCTTCATGTCTTTTTGTTGAGATGCTTCTGAACAAAGATAAAGCATCGAGCTCACTGCACACAGAATATACAAAGAGTGACTATTGCCTGTGCCTAGCGATCCATGCTCCACGGAAAGGCATCATTGAGGTAGTTTTACGCTTGCCCCATATGATATTCCTGCAACATGGCTCTCCTCAAGAAGAAAAAAACATCTGTTCATCTGTAAATGGCATTATGGATGTTGATGTGATTATCGACAGAAACTTATAATGCAGAGGTTTTGTTCTGTGTTTACAGATCTGGCAAATGCGTACCGGGGCACGTCTTCTGACCATCCCGTGCCCCAAGGGAAGCAGGATCTTACAGCCATCGACGAGGTTCATGTCATCGCCCTTCTCATCGTTGTATTCACCATTGGAGGTTTACCTGTTCAACGGTGACTCTGGGCAGTTGTCTGTATTGAATAGGCACATTGGTTAAATATATCTTCTCTTGTGCTGTTTTCTTTTTTTCTTTTACCGCCCAGGGTTGTACAGTACTATTTTAATTCCTGAATGGCTAGGTGTTTATGATTTGGCCTTTCAAGGAGATAAATAAATAAAGCTAGTTTTGTGTGATTTTGCCAATATATGAAAAGCTAAAGAATTCCTCATGCCATGCATGTAGTGTGTTATTCTTTTCTAGATAATGGACTAAACCGTCCTCTAAACTCAAAGGATGTACACAGCCCGATGTATAGTGTACTTGGTGATAGCACATTCGTTTCACAAATGCATACCATGTTTTTTAGACAACGCTTTAATTTCATCATTTATATCTCGGGAGTATTTTTATGGACAAGCTGGCCTAAATATTTTGGGGACATTGATTTGCATGTAACAAGACTGCTAGTGAAATCAAAGTATTTGCAGCGTGCAGTTTGCAGTTGCGGACTCGAAGAGATGGGCATAATTTCTCTGTAAGGAACAGAGTTTTCAATTCTGTACGAATGTCAGTGAGAAGGACACTTGAGAAAAAAGGCAGAAGAATTTGAGAAATTCCTTCTCAATTACGAGAGATTGAAAACTTTTCTTCTTTTCTTTTATTTATTCCTTCCAGGAACAAACATGGTATCCGTTAGTGCTAACCGAACCTGCTGCTTTATTGTAATCTGCAATCTTAACCTTATCACCTGAAATGTTCCTTTTTGCTTGTAGTATAAACCAATTTGATACTTTATCAGGTTAGCAATTTCTCCAAAAGCACTTTGGCCGGTGCATTATTAGGGTAATAAATAATTAATATTAACCTCCCTCTGCCTCGTTTGACTTTGATCAATCACGTAACCTATCACTTGATACGATAAGTTGGCCTCTCCTCCCATGTGATGTGATGTACCAACTTCATTTTCACCTTGATTTTCACCTCAATTATCAGACCTACTCCCATAAAATAATAGCACATAATTGGGCAGCCACACAATTTTTTCTAAGAACAGAAAAGTACAAATCCACATATTTGTCAGACTAATAAAGTCATCTCATAGACGCAACAAAGATTTGTCAGCATCGTATCTTCGAAGGAATCAGCAAAGAGATTAGAGTGTTCTAGATTGTCAGAGATGCTTTGGATATTCCACTAGGGCAGCATTATGGAATTTTCTTTTTGTACACAGCTAGGATTTTCAGATCTTGTGTTGCTTGGAATATGTTCCGTGCCACCATATTTCTCCAACTTATCGACAAGAATTCAAATTATCATTTTCGTTTCATTTTGCGGGTTTTAATTTTATCATAAATCAAACTTTTTAACTTTGATTAAGCCTATAGAAAAATATACTAATACCTACAACGTCAAATTAGTTTAATTAAAATTCATCGTGAAGTTGACGGTAAATGTACTTATTAGATGATAATATATTTTTTTATAGATATGATCATAAGTTAAAATTTTTTAACTTATGATAAAAATAAAATACATTACAATATAGAACGTAGGGAGTACAAAAATTAAAATTGGAACATATTTCAAGAAATGGTCGACCAGGAAGGTGTATACCAGAACAGAGCTCATATCTCTATTTCAGATTTATGTATATATTTACGGTTGTTTTATTCTTCTTTCGTATGGAATGTGGCATCTTAACAAATGACAACATGACAGCTGCTTGTATAATTTTTTTATAAATGCACATTGAAAAAAATGATCACTCTGTTCAAAAAAAAAAGTTAGTGTTAGTGCTTCTTTTTCCACAGAAACGCATTTATTCTGAGTTCTTATATAAGCACATCTTTGATGTTATCCAACAATTTCAAATTGTGCTTATCTTATTAGGCGTGGGCCGCAACCATACCAAATTTAGACTTGATGTAAATTATTATTTTTAGGTTGGATGTAAATTAAATTTTATTTATTTAACAAGAAAGTTTTGTGTTAGCGAAATTGTCTAAATATTACATTACGGGGATATATATGAGTAACAAAATACCAATTATTGAACTCTGCAACTACAAGTTCCAGCTGGCCATTTATCCGAACAACAGTGACACTCTCTTCGCACTCTGGTTCGAACATGCAATAATCTATAGCTTTTAATTACTCCATCCGTCATAAAATAAGTGCAGTTTTACACTGTCATGTTAAATATTTGATTGTTCGTCTTTTAAATTTGTTATGATTAGTATTTTTAATGTTATTAGATGATAAAATATGAACAATACTTTATGTGTGACTAATTTTTAAAAATTTATACATAAAATTTTCAAATAAGACAGACGGTCAAACATTAGACACGGATAAACACACATGCACTTATTTTGGGATAGAGGTAGTAGCATCTAAAATTCTTAATGACTTATTTAATTAAAGTTCAAACAATGTTGTCCAAGCCAAAACAATGCCCATCATTGAATTCAAAATTCAAGATTGTACTAACTGATTGCGTTGCCGACGCAACTTATTCTTTCCTATTTATTCTTAAAAAAAATGTTATCTCGAGTTGACACTTGACACATCCCCATAAGCTATCATCACTAGTTGATATGATAAGCCGTGTGATATGATACATTAGAGTTCAATTATTGCGGCAAAATAAAATAAAATCATTCAATTGTAGCCACATTTTTTCTTCTTCAGAGAGTACAACCATGGAAGAAATTTTAGAATTCCAATACCAGTTAATGAAAACATCAATTAAAGTCTTCGATCAGCAGAAAGAAAGATGTGCCAAGGAATATTCCTTTGTGTACAGTTTATGATCAAATGCTACTGTGAAGGTACAATAATTTGAGGGAGTACTTGCATGTATAAATGACGATTTAATTTAAGCTTTATTTGCTCATAAAAAAAAACTATTATTTCCAAAGCGTAATTTTGGTCCATTATTGCTGCTCAGAATGTGACCAGTGGAAACCTTACAGTTGCAAAGTGTATGCATCCTTCTTTTATGCCTTACGGAAAAAAAAGGGACATGAAGGTATATAATTGGTATGTTCTGATGAATTTATCTTATTACGAGCATCTTGTGGACCAAACTTTATCTTAAAGATGATGCGGTTCTCTTGTACTAGTATAATAGCACACGCAAATCTTAACAAATTATGCTTGATTGTTACTTTAGTGCGGGTACACCCTGGATTAAGGGATACTTTACACCTAAGCTCTAAGTTTCAGAGCACCTGTCGATCACATGCGCACGCATGTAAAAGTTTAAGGTTTTATTTGGAACACATAAATATGAATTCAGCAACTCCAAATTCTACTACTCCATCCGTCCCATAATATAAAGGATTTTGAGTTTTTTACTTGTATTGTTTGACCACTCGTCTTATTAAAAAAAATTTAGAATTATTATTTATTTATTTTTGACTTACTTTATTATCCAAAGTACTTTAAGCACAACTTTTCGTTTTTTATATTTGCACAAGTTTTTTAAATAAGACGAGTGGTCAAACAATACAAACAAAAACTCAAAATCCCTTATATTATGGGACGGAGGGAATAGATTATTTCCTTAGGTAAGGCCTGGTTTAGTTTCCAATTTTTTCTTTAAACTTTCAACTTTTACATCACATCAAAACTTTCCTATCCACACAAACTTCTAACTTTTCTATCACATCGTTCCAATTTCAATTAAACTTCTAATTTTACCGTGAACTAAACACACCCTTAACTTCAGAACGATTTCTTGCATTCCGGATGGAGTGTTTTGATTATTTAGATCTTGAATTCAAAATTTTTGAACATTAAGTCTGGCCTTTAAATATCCTAATTTGAAGAGATGGTTAAAATCATGAGAGAAACTAGAATTTATCTTGAGAGATGCTTTTTCCGTCCTAAAAAACAATTATGACACTTTCTAATATAATAAATTTGAACATATATCTGTCCAGATTTATTGAACTATACTTTGTCGTCACATCAGTTATTCGTTTTTTTTACGGAGAAGGTATACTCCCTTCGTCAAAAAAAACCTAGCCTAGGAGGGCAGGAGGGGATTGACCCCTCCTAGGATGATGAATCTGAATAAGGGATTATATCTTATTAGGTTGTTTTTTTTTTTGAACGAACGGAGTATGCTTTTACGTCATTGTCCCATCTGCCTGCCTCTGCTCTCTGCTTTCCAATCAACTGAAAGTGTCGGTCATTGCGTAGCACAGACAACCGCGATCACTTCCCTTCCAACTGTCTAATGTCAACATCAGGAAGAAATCCATGGTAAGTAAAAAAAGAAAAAAAAACACACCTTACACTCTCTGAGTTTTAATATGGCACCTTTATCTTTTGGACATATTTTTAACCATATATTCATAATATTACAAAAATATATAATTATCATTTATTTTGTTGTTTCTTATTTTTTATATTAAGATCACTTTAAACCTGATATATATTGTTTACGTATTTTTATAAAATTTTTAAGTAAGATGAATGGTCGAATATATGTTCAAAAGTTAATAACCTCATCTATTAAAACCAGAGAGAGTAACTTAATTTCCAGTAGAAAAAAAAGTTGAGAGATGAGAGAGCTCTGTATTTAGATCAGCACCCCGTTGCCCCAAAATGCATTTTCAACCCGCATTGTCAAACAGATGTAAGCAACATTGGAATTACCAGGGAAATATTTTGCAACATGTTGTCACCAATTGACTTTTTTTTATGTACACCAATTATAAACATATCATCCAAATTGTTTCTTCACAATGTCATTGGAAGTCCATGTATAGAACATCCAAATATTTCGGAGTCAAAATATTTTGCGGTCATATTGTTGAAAACATTTGGAAGGTCATGCACTCAACTACAAATCAACCAAACGGGAGAAAATTTCCAAATCTTTGGAGACATTGATTGGAATTTGGAACCGGAAAATTGCTGCCATCACAGCTTTTTTTAGGGTGCTGCCATTACAACTTGTATGTGGAAATTAAATTGATGAAGACTTGTAGGAGAAATTCCAGTGTTTCTTTGGAAGGGACAAATGATTCTTCCTTGTAACAGTACCGAAAGAATATGAAATCTGGTTTTCGTCCATTTATGAAGTTGTCAACAAGATGATATACATTTATGCCCTCTTTGTTTTGTTCGTTTCAAAACTTACCCACCTTTTAAATACCCAAGTTTTAAATACTACTATCTTCAATTTTTTATATGACATTAGTTAGTTCATAAACC